CTGTATGTAAGTCAGAACTGGCGGTCAGTTTCAGCAGTGGCTGAATCTGGACGCCAGTTCCGACTTACCTACAGATTCAACTTAAGAACAAACCTACAGTCCCTATCTTGTATGTAACCCTGGGACTGCCTGTAGTTTCAGAACCTCAAACAGGTTTCAACAACACTCCCCTTCCATTCAGAGAATTTTTATCTTAATGGAAAGCAACTCAACAACACAATGCCCAAAGCTGCGCAAAGATATTTTTCATATGTTAATTGCATGCTTGTCTGCTAGCATCCAGGTCATGACCCACAGCAGGAGGGCATCTCAGGCACCCAGAGTTACAGGGCAGACCATGACAACTCCTCACTGGTCTGCAATTTGTAGAAAGAAGTGGTGTACTAGCTCATGCTTCTGAAAGAAACATACTTACTGACTGGAGGGAGTAGGAGACAGCCCAGCTGGCAGAAACAACACTGCTTTAGGCATGGAGGTTTTACAACTATCTGAACATGAGGAGTGATCAGAGCCTGCTTCAGGCATACCAGCAGGCATGGAAAGAGATTTTTTATTACCTTCGCTCCTCTCGTCACCCCAAGTGGAACAAGCAGGTAAGACTAGTCTTTAATTAACCCACTCAAAACATGCCATGTCAAAGGTTATGATGCAATTTGCTTCAGAGCTATATTTTATTACCTCCCAATCAATATGAATATGAGGCAACTGAGAAAGTTAGGGAGGGGACACAAGTAAAAGAGTTAAGTTCCAATTGGTGGGCTGATTTTTGCCCTCATTCACATATATTTTTTTTTAATCCATACTGATACCTCTGGTTCCTGTTTGTAGGCTGCTGAGAAAAATGATACTGATGGGGAGATCAGCCATAGAATTGCAATTTTCCACCCCAGAAAACAGCTAGCAAGCCACTTTTCTGGGGGCTCCAAAATGAACTATACTGATGCTATCATAGTAGAAAATGATATTTGCAATACCTGGAAGTGTTCCTTGATAACATATGCATTTGCAATTTTAGTCTTGATTCCTTCATAATCACCAACATCACTGATGCAGATTGCATACCACTAAATTCAAAATAAAGCAGACTATTAAAAGGATATTTAGTAGCTCTAATAAAATAAAATTAGAATTGTCACCACCAACACCCAGATCAATATTACTTTTATAAGCAAATATTTATTCAAGTGTTATGATGACTTAGCACTACTGTTTGCTTTAAAAGTCCTCATCACAGCTGACCACAATACATTAGGAGCCAGTGTTTCACTATTACTAAATTGCATTGGCAGCAGGACTGACTGTACTCAGTTACCCCTATGGGTCTGGCGTTACTGAGGAGAGAAGAGGAACAGGAGAAGAAAGGAGGGTGGACCCAGGAAACCTAGGAACTTGCGGCAGTCACCACTATGGCGCAGAGGCAACAGATAGGACATGTAATGCATTTTCGAGACTGAAAAAGGGTGATCAGTGCAGGCACCAAGAACTGTGACCAATCAGCTGCCTCTGTGGTCCTGCAGACTTAGCTTGATCTTGATCTGCAAGAATCCAAATTCAGAGTCTTTTTGAAAGCAGTCAAATCCTCCTGGGTCTTAGTTAAAAAACTAACACTGTGTGTTAAAGGAGGTAGCATAGAAGTTTGCCAGATAACTCTACAGCTAAAAAAGTCACAACCAAATCACAACTACTCCTGTTTCTACTGTCAGATGTCTGAGGATAGTGTAAGGCAACATTTCAATTAACATACTTTAAACAGCTCACCTTGTGTACTGCAAAACTTGACTCATTTTTTTCTAGTGCCTTCTTTGCATATTCAAGAGCTTCATAAACCAGTTGCTTTTTCTCCTCTGCAGTGGTGCTACTAAGTTGGGCTAGATCACGTGAGGCCCGTGCTAGCCTCCATAGTATCTCCGCATCCTCACTAGTTATAAACATAACGGATATATTAAGATCTGTCCATAAAGCAGATTTTAAATTAATCACTAACTACACAACTCAGCTTAGCATTAAGGTAATTCTATATCACATACAACAAAAGGCTAAATGCAACAAATATGAAATCTCAGTCACAGTGATTTGCTAAAAAATCTTTGGCAATAATAATTTGATCTTTGAAGCAATACATATATTGGCTCCATAGGAAGAAACTTCTTTTTTTTAAACTGATGCAAATTCACAAATAGTACATTTAAAGTTAAGACTCAGGAAGGAAAACACAGAAATCAACATTTAGATATGACTCTGTCATGGTCATGAGGGATGGCCAGCAGCCTGGGAACTAAGGAGTTAACTGCACCTAGCCAGGTAGTAGTCAGCCAATAGAAATGCAGATAGGGATTTCAAACTGAGACAAAGGAATTTTGGGGTTTTCCCTCCTTTGTCTCTGAGCCAGTTTGCTCTAGATACTGAGGAGACAGAAGACATATCTCTCTCCAAGAAAAAAGACTCTTCATAATGTCTAAGTAGGGTAAAATTAAGATAAATCCATTAGGCTTTATTGTTTTCTATGTGGGACTTTGGATCTGATGTCTGTGCTATTAGTAGTGGGTTTTCCTTTCTGTTGTAACTAAGTTTTGGCCCATGGGATTCCCCATGAGTTTATTAATTGGTGGCTCTTACCATCTAGCCAATCCAATTATGCTTGTAATAGGAGTATTGTTTTGATAATAAAAGTTCTTCCTTTTTTTAATTAACCTGATATTGGTTCAGTTCTGTGTCCTGGAAAATCTGTCTGTGGATATTTGCATGCCAATGACTAGAGGAGAGCAACCATAGACTGCAGTTTATATTTTCTCTTTTTCAATCTCTTTGGAGAAAAGAGTTTGGGGTTCCCTGGGGTTGGTTTCAAGTGTCCACCCATGTTTGTGAGTACAAAAGCACTTGATGATGGCAGTGGATTTTTATTCCCAAAATCTAGGTTTTTAAGATGTTGGGGGAAAGCTTTATACCAAAGCCTGGAAAGATAAGGTTTTGGGGTTGCTTTTGCGACCCATTCATTGTGCCAGAGTGGGGAATCAGCCTTGACAGACCCAAACTATTTATTTTTCAATATTCAGTTGGTTTCATATACATGTTAATTGCTAGTGAATGCAGTCCATATTTCTATAGTTTTTATAATATTAGTCATAATAATGTGGGGATAGCCAATACAATTAAATACCTGGTTTTGTGCTGGATCAGCAATTGATAAAGCTTTTTGGTTTCTCCACTCCCATAGAGGTAGTCTGCTTGCTCTATGGTTTCCTCAACTTTGAAAGGGGTGGGTATAGTGGAAAGAGGAGACAAAAATGAATAAATATGAAAGCCTACCAGATAAGTAAGAATATATTTCAAAGTACAATTGTAACCACCACCAGGCCGATTTGAACCTGGAACTTCTGAAGCAGGTATAGGAGCCTCCACCCTCTGAGCTAAAAGCCAGCTGGCTCCCAGCCCATGCTGTAGAGGTCTCTTGACCTTAGCTCTTGCTGTGATCTAGGTACCACTTACATTGCTCAGTAACCACACTAGGTGGTATGGATTACATACTTCCCCTAGGTGAGGAAGGGTGACCTAAGCTTCAGAGATCCAGTTGAGATCCTGGACGATCCCCCACTTATAACCACCACCAGGCAGATTTGAACCTAGGACCACTGGAGCTGAGTATAGGAGCCTCTACCCTCTGAGCTAAAAGCCAGCTGTCTCCCAGCCCGTGCTGTAGAGGTCTCTTGGTCTTAACCCTTGCTGTGGTCTAGGTACCACTCACATTGCTCAGTAACCACACTACATGTGTGGGTTACACAATAATCCAACAACCATTAGCCAAACATCTTGAAACACAAAAAATCAGCACTAAAGACAGAGCCAAACAAAAGCATTTCCAATTTCAAATTGACTGTGTTTATACTAACTTTTAGCAGCCATGGGATACAGACTTGTACCAGATGTGTTTATTTTCAGTGAACAACTTCTGGGAACAGGAACAATATTAAAAATATTACTCTATGAAATGGTAAAAACTACCCTCAGCAATAGACAGTGTTAGAAGTGCAACAGATTTCAGAATGTTATTCTGATGACCTCACAATTGCTGAACAGAGTTTGGTTTAGTTTTTGGTGATGTATACGGACTTGACTATAGTACAGTTAAAAATAATCGCTGGCCTGGGTCAGTTCACTTAGGCTCTCAAACAGACCTTTGGACCCAAGCCCTAATTGAAGCGTAGGTGTTTGGCTCAAGTGGAGCTCGAGCTTTGGAATCCAAACATCAACACCATCATTAAACAGATCCTTAGCCCAAGCCTCACAAGCCTAAATCAGTTGACCCAGGCTAGCCGAGGATGTCCAGTTACAGTATAATTTATACCTTAATGATTGGAATATGGAGCATGTGGGAGATCAGAGACTCAGGGTACATCTACACTAAAACTTTAATTCGAACTAACTTAGTTCGAATTAGTTAATTCGAACTAAGCTAATTTGAACTAACGGATCCAGACTAAAAAACTAGTTCGAATTAGCGTTTTGCTAATTCGAACTAGCATGTCCACATTAAGTGGACCCTGAACCGGGCTTAAGGATGGCCGGAAGCAGTGCCGGCAGGGCATCAGAGGAGGACTTAGAGCATGGAGATGCTGTCTCAGGCTAGCTGAGGGCTGTGCTTAAAGGGTCCCGACCCCCACCCTGGACAGACAGTTCTCAGGGGTGCCCCGCTTGCAAAGCAGTCCTGACTTGGATTGCCTGGACTACCCACACTGGGCACATTACAGCACTCAGCCATCAGCCCGGCTGCACTTGCTGCAGGCTGCCATCTGGGGAGAGGGGGCAATTGGGGGGCTGCAGGAGAGCTTCCACCCCCAGAAGCCCGCAGAGCCAGCCCAGTCCTCCCCATCGGGGGCTCGTGCCCCATTCCTCCCTCACCTCCTTCCACTTACCCTTCCCTAGCCCCTTTTCTTGATGTACAAAATAAAGATAACGTGTCTTCCAAAATGGAATCTGTCTTTATTGAACAAAACTGGGGGAGACTGGAAAAAGGAGGTGGGAGAGGGGAAGAGAGAGGCTGGGAGAGGGGAGGGCAACTAAAATGATCAGGGGTTGGGAACAGGTCCCATATGAAGAGAGGCTAAAGAGACTGGGACTTTTCAGCTTAGAAAAGAGAAGA